CCCCAAAACCCCAAAACCCCAAAACCCCATACAAATTGAATGATAATTGCCAAAAATATTGAAATTGTGCTAAAATAATAAAGTTAGAGTATTTTTATAAAATGGAGAATAATCTTTTCGGGGAGAACAATAATAACGAAGAAGACAGTTTTGATAAGGACTGTCCTGACTTTAATTACAAATTAATTCTTGTTGGTCATGAAAGAGTAGGCAAGACCTCTGTGATCAGTAAGTTTGTTAATGATAAATTCAACGATAATGAGGCCAGTTCGAAGACTGTCCAGATATAAAGGAAATTGCTGAAGATAGAGAATACATAAAAGTGGGCACAACTACACATTTGGGACACATTAGGGCAAGAGAAGTTTAAAGCTTTAGCACCTTTATTCTTTCGGAAAGCTGTTGGAGCATTTTTAGTCTATGATTGCACAAATAAGCATAGTTTTGATGAGATAGAAAGTTGGTTTCAATAATTATCAAACAGCATTGAATCAAGGGTTATAGTTATGCTATTGGGAAATAAATGTGACTTACCCAATCGTGAGGTACCTTATAATACTGCGATGGAGTATGCAAGGAATAGAAACTTTGGCTTTTTGGAGGTCTCAGCCAAAACAGGTACAAACATCAAGAACTCATTTTATTGCTTAGTAAGAGGTATGAAATCTTATTCACACTTATTCTATTATTAGAGATTTACAGAAATTAAATTTAGCAAGAGGATCCTAGATCTGACAGTCTCCTTAATAAATAAAAAAATGCTAAAAAGTTTCGTCTTGATAGCAAATCAGGAGAGGCAGCAGATTAATTATCAAATGAAAATAATGGAGGGCAAGCATCTAGGACAGGCGGAAGTAATAGGAGAAATAATAAGTGTAAATGCTGATACCTCTAAGCATATTTCTCTATTTCAAAGAACTCTTTGGTAATTATCATCAAAAATTAATTGTAAAATTTAAGTTTATCGTGTGTGCTACATTAACTATAACTGCGTTTGTTTAATGCATTCACTTTAATTTTTATTTTATCTCACAGAATTTGTTTTATATCACTTTCATATTATAATAAAGCATAACGGGGTTTTGGGGTTTTGGGGTTTTGGGG